GCCCAATCCCAATATCTATGCTTATGCCAACCCGCTTGAGATGTACTTAAATCTATGTAGTGACTATGTGCAGGTAAATTTTCACCTGAAATCGTTTTACTTCCACCTGTTTCCTTTGAAGAGTTTGCACAATACAAAAACCTGTCGACTATTTGAGTCCAAGTTCCAAAACCTAAAACTGTTTCTGGTCTGGTAGAGTTCATTGACGTATAAATAGAGCCTATAGGATATAATGTTTGAAGCATTTCTGTCTTTAATGTTTGAAGCTCTGTTTTGTCTGCTTTCTTGTCATATAAATCTTGAGCAGTGAATTTAATATTATGTTCATCCTTCATGACATAAACATCTTTACATCTAATGTTTTTCATCGTCGTTATGTCGTCATCCGATGTTAAACCTTGTGGAAAGTTAGGAGGTTTACAATATATTGCATCCCCACCAGTTTCTTCAACCGTTCCTTCAATACTTTCTATAGCAACAGTTGTAAAACTTGTATGTGTATGGTTCTTGTCTGCTTTCTTCTCAAGGCTAACGTTTAAGTCTGTTATTTCAGATATAGAATGTGTATGTCCAACGGCACTTTTCCTGTTTAAGGTTTCTTGTAAGTTTGTAATATTTGCAATGGTATGTGTATGTCCAACGGCACTTTTACTGTTTAAGGTTTCTTGTAAGTCTGTTATTTCAGATATAGAATGTGTATGAGTCTTTTTAGAATATTCGTTTTCAGCTCTTGTCACTTCACTTGACATTTTATTGTCAACATATGTTTTGTCTGCTAGTTCAGGATGAGTATGTTCTTTTGTTGCATAAGCATTGTTAGCTCTTTCTTCTTCTTTTGCTATTGCATCGTCTACATATTCTTTGTCAGCTTTGTTGTCAACATCTGCTTTCAAAAGAAGTTCATTTATAGGTTTCTCGTTTAAAGTTCCTTTGTTGGATTTATACAGACAGTATGGTTCTTATTGTCTTGAAACAGAAACTCATCTGTCATTGGGTTTAATGTCAGTTTTAAGTTTCCTTCTTTCAATGACTCAGATATCTTAGAATAGTTTGAAAGTTTGTTGTGTTCTTATTTAGAGCTTGCATTGAGTTGTCGGTTGTGTTGTATTTCTCTCATGGAAGCAATATCTTTCGACATTTTTATTCTAGATAAAATATGCTTCCAATAGAAAAAGAAAATTCAAGAGTTGCTACAACTAAACATTAGATGAACTTTTTACTAATGTCGGTCAAAAGTTTGAGACAGAGACCGTAAAGCATGAAGGCTATCGTTTTGACTACCCATTAAGATGGCTAAGAGACCCATCTGTCACAAAAGCTATTGGCTTTCGTAGAATGAAGTTTGTGTCTGTAGAAGATAAAAGTTTTCCATTTATTGTAAGGTTTCATATAGATTATATATCTGAAGGGAACGAAAATGTGGGAAGAAATTGAGCTAATACAAGTTGACCTTTCATCTTCTCTACAGACTGCGTTAAAAAATATAGAAGATAAAATAAATTCATGTTTATGCAAAATATGCTGATGAATATGCAAATACCGAGAGCACACTTTATGTGAGAATTGTATATGACAAACAAAATTCACAAGTGTCATTTCAAATCTACGAAGACAATCCAAAGAAAGACGAACAAATATATACAGAATTCACTGCAATGTCATGGTATTATTTGCAAAGAATGTTAAATCAGAAAGTCGAACTTCCTTTAGCAAATATTTACAGTCGATATGCAAGAGATGAACCATATTTATTTAAAGATGTTTTCGACCAGCTGCTATTATTGTTCATGCTTCATTTTCTGGCGCCCAAAACTCTTTCTTATGCTTGGCAAATGATTTTTACGAAAAAACCTACAAAGTTATACGAACCACCAAGTGGAAGTATTTCAGACTTTCAAGTATGGTTTACTACAGATGGAAGAAAAAGAATAATTCCATTATACCATGCGTTTTACTTAGAACTTAGTTTCATATACAACTACTATCGAACGGTAAAAATATAACTTTTTAATACGGTTGAGGTGTTGGATTTGGTTGCCAACTAGACTGTGGTGCAGGTTCAGGCTGTTGTATAACAGGAGCTTGTTCTTCTGGTTCAGGGTCTTTAGGTATAATACCAACGAACTGACCTACTCTTTTACCAATATTTTTGACTCCGTTCCAAATTCCTCTTCCGACAGATTTTATTCCATTCCATATACCTCTTCCAACTCTTCTGAAGAAGTTTCCAATACTACTGAAGAAACCCATTTTACTATATGTAAAAATCTAATGTCCACCTAGTCTCTTACGTTTCCTGTTGAGTTCCATAGCATTCTTTAACTGGAGCTCATACATTCTGTTTCTCCTCTGGTAGAAAACATATTCTGGGTCAACTCCTGTGTTCGCGTCATCTGCATAAAGTTGTTTATATCCACTTCAGGGTTTGTATAAAACTCTTTCCATCTCATATTTGCATACCATGGTGGCAAACCTAACGCAGCGTCATTTGACATGGCAGTTTGCATTTGTACATCTGTTGGCACTTGACCATAGTTTGCCATTGCAGTTTGTATTCTAACTTCATTTGGAATATTCTCTGGGTTTGGTTGTCCAGGTTGCTGTGCATTCGCTAAGTTCTGTGCGTCCATTTAATATTAGATAAAAATATCTCTTACGAGTACATATACTGAACATTTGCAGGCATTGGTTCATCTTCATATTCTCTATATCTTTCTGCCACGTCAAATAAATAAATGACACAATGGAAAAAACCTAAAACAAGTAGTCCTATTTCAAACCACATTTACTTACTAATAAAATTTCTTTATTGTGACACTTTCTCCAGTTTATAGGTCCTCTCTCATATTCTATCTTGTCATATATAAACTCATAGTCATGTATGTCCTCTAACCATCTCATAACGGTTTCCAAACCACTTTTATCGGATGTAAAGTAAAAGCATGGATGGTTATGTAAAACGTCTAAAGTTTCTAAAGAGTCTCTCAAAGTCCAGTCTACTTGGTATTGAAAATCCCATGTGTTATAGAACGGCGGGTCCACTATAAAGAAAACATTTCCTTGTCTTTATATTTTTCATACAAATCTGTCCAATGACATCTCACAAACTCTATACCTCAATATATTTTTCTATGTCCTCTTTGAAAACATTTGTATAGTTAAGATATAAAACTTTTGACATAAGTGTTTCAATGTCATGAACTCTTATAGAACCACTATATAATAGTCTAGCAGATATACTATTCCAGTCTATATATTCTGCTTTTTTCAAAACCTCTCTCACAATATTTTTGTTATCTAATGGTATACGTTCCATCTTACCTATAGGTATCTTTTCTTTTAACTCTTTCAATATTTTGTTAGTGTCTGGAATATGTTTGAGACGGTCCATATAGTTGTCGAAGTCATTGCATATAATCTTTGAGTCTGGGAATATTATATGGCACAAATGGGATATATAGAAACTTCCACCGAACAAATCTACAAATGTTAGACCATTCGGTAGTTTCTTAAGTTCTCTCAATATAATATCTTTACATCTACTCTTATTTCCAAAGAACGGTAACGGTGGTTTTGTAAATTCATTTATATATAATAATAAAAATGTTTTTACCCGAAAAGTGACAGAAAAGTGACAAAACATGAAAACATATATAATTTGTGAAAAGCGACACTTATATATATGTTTTCGACCCAGAAGAAGGCTTCTTCCCAGAAGCAATGGAGGAAGAAGAAGAGTCCTCCGAATTCACACCAGAAGACTAACAATTTTCCGAATAAAAACTTCATTTATACTAAACATCTTCGGGGCTAGAGGGCACGAAGTGCCTGGAAGCCCCACTACCTTTTTTTTTTTTTTTTTTTTTTTTTTTTTTTAATCAGATACAATAGTAATAAAGAATGTAAAAAAACGAATTGAGAAGAAGATTTGAAGAAAACTGATGATAAATTCATAAGTATAATTAGAATATTAAATATGAAAATTGAATTCTTCGAATGATTTGAATTCTAAACAAACTATTGAATTAAAGTGAACTGCTAACTGTAGATAATAATTCAGAAATATTGAAGTAAATTTCAAAAATTGAATAAAGTATTTCCTGACATTCAATTTTGTTATTATCATCGAAAAAAGTTTTTTGAATTGAATTTTTGTAGGTAATGGTTTTCAATCATTTTTACTTTAATGATTTTTCAATTTTTGACAAGATAACAATATTTGTGTGGAATTGTAAATTGATAATTGCACAATTAAAGATTTTCCGAATATAATTTATATCTAAATTGTGCAATTTTTCGTAATTATTATTGAAATGATAAAATCAATAACTTTAAAATTAATGGTAATTATATGATTTTTATTATAATATATAATCACAAAACGATATAATTGGATTCAATATTGAAATATATTCAATCTTAAAATAACCAATTCAAAAAATCCGGTTTTTCAAGTTTGATGATTGAAATTTCAATACTCAGCTTTCATATTAATATTGAATTTTTTGGTGTTACCCTGAGAACATTGACGTATTTCATCGATTCAACTCATCTAATTAACAGTTCGTTCATTTTAATCCCAAAATCAAAGCAAAATAAATACAAATAATTTAATTATGATTAATAATGCCAATTAATCAATATAATTTGATGTCATTTAATTATACCAGCATAATTATTCAATCTCAGTGACAATTTTTTATCAAATTTCATTTTGTAAAATTATGATTGTTTCAAATAGCAAACCATTAATTCATAACGACATAATCCAATACATTTAAATAACATGATTCCATAGATTTTTATACCTATAATTTTGAAATATTATATTTTTTTTTATTTTTTCAAATTATTGATTCTTAATATCAATACCGAAATGCATATTTCCATGTTTTGAATGTCATGTTATATATACTAATTGTTTATTCAAAAATTAAATTTTGAAATTGATATCAAACATATTCTTTACAACTATGAAAGTTTTAACATAAACAAAACATTTAATGATAGTTCAATAGTTGGCCAATATCCGACGGATCGATATCTCCTTGATTTGGTATCGGAGATTTTGATTCCTTTAGCTTTTGAATCAATTTTTCTTTTCTGTATGGATTAATATCTGCAATATGTGTGTTTATTGTGGCCCAATTTTCTGTGTACCAACATAATAATGCTGATCGATTTCGTTTTGCAAGTCTATCCAGGTTCAGGCCATACTTCTTAGCCATTTTGTTAGCAAATGATAAAAGAGGTTCTATGGTTATGTGGCCCCCATAGCTTGATTCTATTATGGCTGTGACCAAATCCATCTTAATTCCATTCTGATTGATTCGTTGCAAAATATCATCATGATCCTTCATATTTTGTGGAGATACACATCGAAATTTTCTCATCTTCCTTGTACTAAGAATATCCTGCACATACGTCATGTCTAGCATTTTGCTTAATTGAATATTAATAAGATATTGAATTTTTATTATATCAAAAAAATTCAATATAATGTGTGATTTAATATCATTGGATAATAAATCAAATAATGGAAATTTATTGAATCTTATTGAATTTTTGAATATGCGAACAAAACACACACATTGAAAAAAAATTTATTGGATAGAAATTGCCAGATATAATATAAGGAATTTAAAAATTAAAATGAAACATTAAAATAGACTATTCTAAAATTTGAATGTATTAAATGTCATTATATTATGAGGTATACAAAATGATGATATTATCAAAATAGCAAAAAAATGTAATTGTAACCTCGTATTGTTATAGACCGAAAATAGATTTTTTCGGTTTTCTTTTCAAATAATTGAAAGAATGATACTATTATAGGTTTATTATATTATATAGCATATAATCATGCTATAGCCGAAAATTATAAGTTTTGAGAAGATTGAATATAACACAAATAAATTTGAATGTAAGTTAAATTGCTTGTTGTTTTTAATAGCTATTTAATGAGAAATCCAATATTGCAAAATTCAAATTGAATGATTGAAAGAACAGAAAAAGTCATTCTTTTCAATTTCGAATATGTTTCATTGTATTTATAATTATATGGCAAATAAGATATTTAAACTTGATTTTTGAAGGAAAATTCACAAAATTGAATAAATTCAAATAATTTTTATTCAAAATAAACTAGTTATTTGAGTTTAATACTAATTATCTATTCAAACTACAAAGTTTGTAATTTAAAATATTTTGTGAGATCAGATTGAATTAATTCAAGGTTCTTTTCAATTAATATTAATGACCATATTACGCATTTTCGAACATTCTAAACCAAATATATAAAAATGGGAGACGAATGTTAAATTTGCTAGACATGGGGGAGTTGTCTGCAAAGTTTTAGCTCTTATCTCTAACAAAAAATTAATTTTTAAAAAAATGACCGAATACGTTTCACAGCGAGAAAAAAATAAAAGGCAAGATAGAATTTTCTAGACATAAAGAAGTTGTTTACCGAGTTTTAGCTCTTATCTCTAACAAAAAATTAATTTTTAAAAAAATGACCGAATACGTTTCACAGCGAGAAAAAAATAAAAGGCAAGATAGAATTTTCTAGACATAAAGAAGTTGTTTACCGAGTTTTAGCTCTTATCTCAAAAAAAATTAATTTTTAAAAAAATGACCGAATACGTTTCACAGCGAGAAAAAAATAAAAGGCAAGATAGAATTTTCTAGACATAAAGAAGTTGTTTACCGAGTTTTAGCTCTTATCTCTAACAAAAAATTAATTTTTAAAAAAATGACCGAATACGTTTCACAGCGAGAAAAAAATAAAAGGCAAGATAGAATTTTCTAGACATAAAGAAGTTGTTTACCGAGTTTTAGCTCTTATCTCTAACAAAAAATTAATTTTTAAAAAAAATGACCGAATACGTTTCACAGCGAGAAAAAAATAAAAGGCAAGATAGAATTTTCTAGACATAAAGAAGTTGTCTACCAAGTGTCAGCTGTTACTTCTTCTCAATACTGATATAAAATAAAAATCTTTATTATTTATTTAACCTTTATTGTTTCATTAAACTTCATTTATTTTATATTATAGTTTTATTCTTTTAGCTACTTGTAAAATAATCTAATTTTATATCATCATTTTACCTGATTATTCTTCAGTACATTGATTGTGTATCTAAAATAATATCATTATCCTTATTCTGTTTTTTCCAAAATTCTTTTAAATATCTTTTTTGGTTAGATTACTTTATACTTTTTACTTTTATTTTTTAATTTCAAAAAAAAATTTGGTGATTGTTCTATTCTGTTACAATGTGCATTATCATATTCTAATGAATTATTCATTACATACATTTAAAAAAACTTGTTAAAAATGAAATTAAAAAATTATGTTTATTATTACGCTGTGAATGTGTCAACAGCGGTCATGCCTGTATCTGTATCCCATATTTGCCACAACCTTTCTGTATCTGCATTTGTGTATTTCGGTTTCAGCTGATACATTTGATTTGGCGTGTAATTTGTTCCAGTTAATGGATTAATTGGGAGATCTTCATGCGGTGTGTTATTATTGTACTCCCAAATAAAGGCAGGAATAGCCTGAATGCTTTGGCAGCGCTCCAATGTCGGCCAGAATCTCTCAATCTTCCCATTTTGGTAGGGAGAATGAGAGTCGGTATGCCGCCATTGGACGCCCCAAAGATCAAGTAGATCTTGAAAGGCGCCCCTATTTTCTGAACCGTTGTCGGTCCAGAAACAATAAGGGGCGCCAAATTCAATGAAGGCGGAAGCCGCAACGTTCGCTGTCGTCGCTGCCAGCATATCTGGTATTTGTATACACGCTAGGACTTTGCGGCTAAAATCGTCGATTATGCCATAAATATACTGGCCACGAACACCCCTAAAATAATGAACATCTTCGTGCCAGATAAGATTGGGTGAAAGCGCCCAATATCTTACTGCTGTTTCTGGCCCGGCATGCTCTAATCGCGTCTTGGTGAAATGATTTTCTTTGAAGTATCTGCGTACTTCTCTATAAGATACATCAATTTGTTGTAATTTCAAACGTTTCCATTGTTTGTTTGACCACAGGGAAAGGCCCAGTGGTCATGTATCACAGCAAGAGCTTTGATTTGGTCGTAGGGATTGACCCTACGACCTTTCTTGCCTTTAGGCAATGGATATTCTGTAAGCTAAATTGATTTTGTAAAAAGATTTTGAAACATCTAAATATTTGAAATCATTTGATTGAAGGGTTGGGGCGATGGGAACATGGGTGCAAGCTTCTTCCCATGTCATTTTACCTTTTTCAATCTGATTGGAAATACCAATTAGGTAAATTCGATCGACATACCCTTTGTAAGGATTCATTCTAATGAAGTACGTTAACAATCAAAATATTCTATAAGTGTCTAGTATGGAATTCAAAAGAATAAAGAAAATAGTAACGTAAATAAACGTATTATGAAAAAATTTATAATTAAAATGAAAAAAATAAAAAAAAAATAAGTAAAGTGACTGGAAATGAAAATTAAAATCAGTGTAAAGTTTTATTTTTTTCTCGCTGTGAAACGTATTCGGTCATTTTTTTAAAAATTAATTTTTTGTTAGAGATAAGAGCTAAAACTCGGTAAACAACTTCTTTATGTCTAGAAAATTCTATCTTGCCTTTTATTTTTTTCTCGCTGTGAAACGTATTCGGTCATTTTTTTAAAAATTAATTTTTTGTTAGAGATAAGAGCTAAAACTTTGCAGACAACTCCCCCATGTCTAGCAAATTTAACATTCGTCTCCCATTTTTATATATTTGGTTTAGAATGTTCGAAAATGCGTAATATGGTCATTAATATTAATTGAAAAGAACCTTGAATTAATTCAATCTGATCTCACAAAATATTTTAAATTACAAACTTTGTAGTTTGAATAGATAATTAGTATTAAACTCAAATAACTAGTTTATTTTTGAATAAAAATTATTTGAATTTATTCAATTTTGTGAATTTTCCTTCAAAAATCAAGTTTAAATATCTTATTTGCCATATAATTATAAATACAATGAAACATATTCGAAATTGAAAAGAATGACTTTTTCTGTTCTTTCAATCATTCAATTTGAATTTTGCAATATTGGATTTCTCATTAAATAGCTATTAAAAACAACAAGCAATTTAACTTACATTCAAATTTATTTGTGTTATATTCAATCTTCTCAAAACTTATAATTTTCGGCTATAGCATGATTATATGCTATATAATATAATAAACCTATAATAGTATCATTCTTTCAATTATTTGAAGAGAAAACCGAAAAAATCTATTTTCGGTCTATAACAATTGTAACCTCGTATTATTCAAATTGAATTATTATATCTACAGACTTTAAAATCTGAAATATTCTCAAGAGTCTAACTATCTCATAAATCATATTTAATCTTTTTCAAATGATAAATCAAAAAGTATCACAAAAATTATATTTCATATGTTCACTTATATTTCATGATAACAGATCAAAGATTAATTCATTCAGTAAAAAATTCAATACTAAACAAAATAAAAAAAGAACTTTTCCTGAACAATAAGATTGAATATCATATATGATATATAAAAATTCCTTTAAAAAGATTCAATTGATAGTTCATATCAATTTTTTCTTTCAATTTATCAATATTCATATTTTCAATAAAGCTATTATATACGATAAATGAACTAGTTGGTTTCGATACAAAGATGCATCCTTAATAAATTTAAGATGTGTTAACGAATTTTTCCTAGCAAATCTTTATTTTATGAATTCCTTTTGGTGATGCAACTGTATAAACCTTATCTTATATCAGGTCTATTTAAATAATTTTGAAGATAACTATCCGAAAACCAGTTTTATTTCAATATATATTATCATTCAATCAGCAGTTTCAAAAATTAAAAGAATATTTGCATTGTAGAACTTATGTTTTGGTAGGATCCTCAATAATATTGATTATAGATGAAAAATTATTTGATAAAAATTAAAAACTGGCTCTAATTTGCAAAAAATGGATGCAAATTTGTTGCATGTTATCATCTATAATATAAAATGTTGATTTGTTGCTTCTTTTCCCACATAAATGAGGTTTATTTCAAACAATATAGTAAAATTCTAAAGAGCAATATTATAGGCAATATTGCTTTCATTAAAAGAATTCGCCAATTATGATTCTTTGTCAGATAAAACATAGTAATTTTGCAAGATATTAATTATTCATCTAAGAGGCTTTCTAGGTATAAAACTTCGCTACCAACACGAGATATTTCCTGCGATAATACGTCTACAGCTATTTTATAATCTTCTACATTTCCAATAATATCCGATTTCCTTGGTGAACTTTGCATCTCCAATTCTTGAATCATATTGGATTGCTTCTCAAATTTTCGCTTTTTTTCTTCTTCTAATTGATTTATCGAATTTTGTAATTCGGAAATTTTACGATTGTATTCTTGAAATGCCTTTGTTGTATTTTTTCTGTAGTTATACGCTAATTTCACTTGATTTTTAAGATCATAATAAATTTGATTTAAATCTCGAGGATCTGTTAATGAAGATTCGGCCATTTTCAGGGCCAAACTCGTAAGTAAATTTCTGTCTATCGACCCGTTTTTATTTTCGATAAAGCTTTGAAAGTTCGAAACAGATAAATCCAATGGACTATCTAGTTCAGGATTTTCAATGAATACAACATTTCTTTTCTTATGCTTCTTCGAAATAATAATATCAGAATCTTGAAATTCAAAAAGCGACGTATCTTCAGCCATGATATAATAAATTGAAAAGTGACGAATTAGATTTTGCTATATTAGAATCATATATTCTTGCCTTTATTGATGAATATAATGAATTTATATTTTGGATTGTCTTAATTTATTTTGAAATTTTGGAAATCATTTGATAAAAAAAATACATATTTACTCGGCGTCTTGTGGTGGAAGGAATCCTTGTGCTTCATCAGTTTCATACAGAATTCCTAAAATTGTTTGGATTAAATCGACATCTTCGTGTTGTTGACAGAAATCTTCGACTCTTCTTAGTTTGTCATAGTAGAAATCTCTTTCTTCTGTCATTCCTTCTAAGTCCTCTTTGGCACCTTTCAATTCTGTCTTTAATTCTTTAATACGAGCCTTCCAATGTGCTTCTTGTATTGGAGTACCAGCAGGATCAGCAGGAGCTTGTGCTTGTGTTGGAGATGAAGCTGGGTCGGTGGCAGATTTCGGAGGTTCTTGTTTAGGAGCGTTTGCAGGTGTTCTTGGCTTCTTTTGAGAAGGAGGATACCCCGAGCGAGTTATAGATTCTGTAGGTTTCAGAGGAAGAGGAGCTCCTGAACGAGTTGTAGATTCTGTAGATCTTTGGTATTGGCCTGTCCTATGTAAAGGCTTTGGGATCGATCTGGTTTTAGAATGGCGTCTACTTTTGGCATTGTACTCTTGATCTGGTTTATTAGCTTCGTAGAATCCATATAGCCACTGTAGCATCTCTAAAACTGCCATATATTTGCCGGCAGAAAGATTTTCTACATCAATAAATTGTTTAATTCCGTTTTTAGAAAAAACTTCTTGTAATACTTTATAATTTTCGAAGTTTTCATGCTGAAGTTGGGCATTAAAATTTACTCTACCCATAGGAACTGTACCGGGATAAATCGCATCTATTATTTGGCAAAAAGCTGCACCATTAGCGCAGTCTTCGACTTTAGTGTATTCTAAATCCAATGTTTTATTCATCCATTCTATAAGTTGAGTCTTACCAACATAATTGTCATTATGCATCGGTAAAAAAGTGAACTCGATAATTAAAATGTTTAATTCAATCGGATAGGAATTGCATATTCATCCGAAATAAAGCCGAAATCTTTGAAAATTTTAAGGGTCCACTGTAAGGCCAAATAAGGCCTATCGTCGCCCCAAAAATATTGCTCAAGATGGTGTTTTTACTAAGGCCCAAAACTTAAAAAAACACAAAAAAATTAACTTTACTCTTTTGAGATCCTTATCAGATGTGCAACAATTTGATGCAGTATCGCAATTCGAATCCGATTTTTTAATGTAGATGTACTCTAACATTCTTGAAAAAATGCAAAATGATATTAATCGAGCTTTTCATTTCTGTATCATACACGAAACAAAATCATTCATTATACTAAAATTTATCAAAGTTTGAATAATGAAAAAAATAATATCTAAATTTTTACATTGAGTCGGCTATTGATATGGTCAATATTAAATCGTTTAAAAATGGGCATTGGCCAGAATAATACCCACTAAAATACACATTTTTTAAAATTTTATCAATTTGTTTTGGTATATCTTTATGATAATGAATAAAATGCTTATCTTTCATATGTCAATACATAATTTATGCTGAAACACAAAAAATAACACGAAAATTTTTGGCCAACATTTCAAAACGAAGGATAATGCTTTGAATATATAAACAATAATACTTTGTCTAGAGAATTAAATTTGTGCTATCCAATTGTCAATTCTTTGAATTTTTTATAAAATTCACGATATTCCGGCATTAGCCTCAATAAATATAAACTACATGCATCACAATATTAGGATGTAATGGCATTAAAGCGAATTTCCTAATTTCTTCTCAATTAAATTCCTAGAAAAACTTAGGAATTAATGATTGGAAATAGGTCAAAAAAATTCCTAATATAAAATTTATACTTAAATTAAAATCAAAATTCGAAAATATCTATTTTTCAAAACACGCATCCAGAAGCGAAAAAATTCGAAAAAATCATGTTCTTATAAAACTCGCTGATTTTGCAATTTTTATGTGATTTGAAGTGATAGAATGTATTATCATCTTACTAAAACATATACTTTATTGTTACATTCACAAAATATTAATCAGAACACTAGGAAAAGTGGATTTTCGAAAAAAGACGATAACGATTATTTGCAAATCGCCTCTCAATTTTGAGAGACTTTCAATTTTTACAGTGGACCCTTAACCAAAATTCTGAGGAAGTTTAGAAATTTAAATCAAGTCCGGAAATATTGATTCTTATATATTTCTACATCTAATTTCATAAAAATATCTATTAGTTCAACATCAAATAAATAAAATGATCCTTTATTTCTGAGATTTATAACTTCTAATACCTCTAAGAATATCTCTTTTTGAGAGATATGTGATATGCATCACTGATAGTCCAAGAATGTAGGCATAAAATATCAAAATTTAACATCTTACTTAAACCATAGCATTTTATTCGGAAAGAAAGTGTATTCATTCTCACATAAGTATGAAAACAAGATACAATAAGGAATTCTTAAATGTCAGGCATTTCTGGTTGCATGAAAATTCAAAGTATGGTAGTATAGTTATTTTAGCAACTCCTGACCCTTTATGTCCTACGTCATACGTTCCATCTGGCTGTGGCATTGATTCACTTCCGGAAATCATGACTGGATTTAGGAATTTAATTCCGGAATGGTGGACTCTCCCTCCTAATGGAGAAATGCAATCGGGGTGACCACTTATGTATGAGCTTCCTCCAGGACCTCCATGGCTTATCTCTGCAGGTGATGGATGTGGAATATTATGATATCCTCCTCGATATCCGGCGCCGCCACCCCCAGTTGCACATCCATAGGTGGAGGGATCTGAATAACCATGGCCTCCTCGTCCAAGTTCCCCTAATAATTGGGTTCCACCCTGAGTATATCTGTAATTTGTCACTGATTCAAAATTTCCACCAGGAGTACCATAGGCATAAAGGTTAAATGTAGGATCAGTTCGAAGTATATTGTGAGAAACGGCGCCTCCGCCACTTCCTGCAACCATTATTCTGCTTTTTATCGATTCATTAATTAGATACGAATTATTTTTTTCTAAATCAGCATAAATTAGTCGAATATCAACACCACCGCCACCGCCTGCTCCGCTCTCTGGATATATTGGATCTACAGGATCAATTCCCCCATCGCCTCCGAAATTCCATCCACCATAACTGACTACACCGGACTGATTTGAAAAACTTCTTGCATTCAATTTTGAATGCTGCTCTCAAAAGTCCATTTTATTGAGTATGAATATCGGGATTTTAAATAGATGTTATAACAATATAAAGTATTTAATCAGATAAAAAAATTATCCGTTTTTGAGTATAAAAAAAATGAATCTGTTTCTCTTTTCCTATGCATTAAGTTTACTAGACGCTATTGAAAATATTAGTAAGCTCAACTTCATTGATGATACACTTGACAGCAACACACTTGATTTCAACTCAAAGTTTGAAAATTTTAAAATTCCACAGAGATCAATATATTTTGTTTGTAACAGTAACTTTGAAATCGATAACATATCAATGTTCAACAGCATTCTATCAAATTTTGGAAAATGTTCTATATTTCATTTTGAAAACTTCAACATATCATTTACAATTAACAGCTCATTATTTACAAATATGCATAGTTTAGAAAAAAAAAAAAAAAAAAAAAAAGTAGTGGGGCCTCCAGGCACTTCGTGCCCTCTAGCCCTGAAGATGTTTAGTATAAATGAAGTTTTTATTCGGAAAATTGTTAGTCTTCTGGTGTGAATTCGGAGGACTCTTCTTCTTCCTCCATTGCTTCTGGGAAGAAGCCTTCTTCTGGGTCGAAAACATTATATAATGTTTCACTTTTCACAAATTATATATGTTTTTATGTTTTGTCACTTTTCTGTCACTTTTCAGGAAAAAAACATTTTTATTATTATATATAAATGAATTTTACAAAACCACCGTTACCGTTCTTTGGAAATAAGAGTAGATGTAAAGATATTGTATTGAGAGAACTTAAGAAACTACCGAATGGTCTAACATTTGTAGATTTGTTCGGTGGAAGTTTCTATATATCCTATTTGTGCCATACAATATTCCCAGACTCAAAGATTATATGCAATGACTTCGACAACTATATGGACCGTCTCAAACATATTCCAGACACTAACAAAATATTGAAAGAGTTAAAAGAAAAGATACCTATAGGTAAGATGGAACGTATACCATTAGATAACAAAAATATTGTGAGAGAGGTTTTGAAAAAAGCAGAATATATAGACTGGGATAGTATATCTGCTAGACTATTATATAGTGGTTCTATAAGAGTTCATGACATTGAAACACTTATGTCAAAAGTTTTATATCTTAACTATACAAATGTTTTCAAAGAGAACATAGAAAAATATATTGAGGGTATAGAGTTTGTGAGATGTCATTGGACAGAGTTGTATGAAAAATATAAAGACAAGGAAAATGTTTTCTTTATAGTGGACCCGCCGTTCTATAACACATGGGATTTTCAATACCAAGTAGACTGGACTTTGAGAGACTCTTTAGAAACTTTAGACGTTTTACATAACCATCCATGCTTTTACTTTACATCTTATATACGAAAAAAAGAGATCTGACATTGTGTCAGATCTCAGTAAAAGTGACATTTACATGTCAAAAAAATAGAATGAGTTTAAGTAATTAAAATTGAGGGTGAGAGTAGTATTGTATGAAATAATATCTCTCACCCTCCAATTCATCCTATGGCGCCGAAAAAATTTTGGTGAAATGCGACCACATTTCACCAAAATTTCTCGGCGCCATATAGAGAACTAGAGCCTGTGAGGTACTGATACTATCCATGTACCTCGCAGGCTCTAGTTCCAAGCCAAAATGGCTAAAAATTGCCCGCAATTGTTCACATTGCGGGCAATTTTTAGCCATTTTGGCTGGGAATTGGAGGGTGAGAGTAGTATTGTATGAAATAATATCTCTCACCCTCCAATTCATCCTATGGCGCCGAAAAAATTTTGGTGAAATGCGACCACATTTCACCAAAATTTCTCGGCGCCATATAGAGAACTAGAGCCTGTGAGGTACTGATACTATCCATGTACCTCGCAGGCTCTAGTTCCAAGCCAAAATGGCTAAAAATTGCCCGCAATTGTTCACATTCCCATCTTTTGTTGGTAAGACGAAGAATATGAAATAAATTATGAAGAAGATAATGATGAATAAAATATCACTTTTTATATTTTTGACACGTAAAGTTGTCACTTTTCTGTCAAACTGTTTTTATCGTTTTCGTATATAACATACATCCGATAAAAGTGGTTTGGAAACCGTTATGAGATGGTTAGAGGACATACATGACTATGAGTTTATATATGACAAGATAGAATATGAGAGAGGTCCTATAAACTGGAGAAAGTGTCACAATAAAGAAATTTTATTAGTAAGTAAATGTGGTTTGAAATAGGACTACTTGTTTTAGGTTTTTTCCATTGTGTCATTTATTTATTTGACGTGGCAGAAAAGTACAGAGAATATGAAGATGAACCAATGCCTGCAAATGTTCAGTATATGTACTCGTAAGAGATATTTTTATCTAATATTAAATGGACGCACAGAACTTAGCGAATGCACAGCAACCTGGACAACCAAACCCAGAGAATATTCCAAATGAAGTTAGAATACAAACTGCAATGGCAAACTATGGTCAAGTGCCAACAGATGTACAAATGCAAACTGCCATGTCAAATGACGCTGCGTTAGGTTTGCCACCATGGTATGCAAATATGAGATGGAAAGAGTTTTATACAAACCCTGAAGTGGGATATAAACAACTTTATGCAGATGACGCGAACACAGGAGTTGACCCAGAATATGTTTTCTACCAGAGGAGAAACAGAATGTATGAGCTCCAGTTAAAGAATGCTATGGAACTCAACAGGAAACGCAAAAGACTAGGCGGACATTAGATTTTTACATATAGTAAAATGGGTTTCTTCAGTAAGATAGGAAACTTCTTCAGAAGAGTTGGAAGAGGTATATGGAATGGAATAAAAACCGTAGGAAGAGGAATTTGGAACGGTGTCAAAAATATTGGTAAAAGGGTAGGTCAGTTCGTTGGTATTATACCTAAAGACCCTGAACCAGAAGAGCAAGCTCCTGTTATACAACAGCCTGAACCTGCACCACAGTCTAGTTGGCAACCAAATCCAACACCTCAACCGTATTAAAAAATTATATTTTTACCGTTCGATAGTAGTTGTATATGAAACTAAGTTCTAAGTAAAACGCATGGTATAATGGAATTATTCTTTTTCTTCCATCTGTAGTAAACCATACTTGAAAGTCTGAAATACTTCCACTTGGTGGTTCGTATAACTTTGTAGGTTTTTCGTAAAAGTCATTTGCCAAGCATAAGAAAGAGTTTTGGGCGCCAGAAAATGAAGCATGAACAATAATAGCAGCTGGGTCGAAAACATCTTTAAATAAATATGGTTCATCTCTTGCATATCGACTGTAAATATTTGCTAAAGGAAGTTCGACTTTCTGATTTAACATTCTTTGCAAATAATACCATGACATTGCAGTGAATTCTGTATATATTTGTTCGTCTTTATTTGGATTGTTTTCGTAGATTTGAAATGACACTTGTGAATTTTGTTTGTCATATACAATTCTCACATAAAGTGTGCTCTCGGTATTTGCATATTCATCAGCATATTTTGCATAACATGAATTTTATTTTATCTTCTATATTTTTTAACGCAGTCTGTAGAGAAGATGAAAGGTCAACTTGTATTAGCTCAATTTCTTCCCACATTTTTCGTTTCCCTTCAGATATATAATCTATATGAAACCTTACAATAAATGGAAAACTTTTATCTTCTACAGACACAAACTTCATTCTACGAAAGCCAATAGCTTTTGTGACAGATGGGTCTCTTAGCCATCTTAATGGGTAGTCAAAACGATAGCCTTCATGCTTTACGGTCTCTGTCTCAAACTTTTGACCGACATTAGTAAAAAGTTCATCTAATGGTTTAGTTGTAGCAACTCTTGAATTTTCTTTTTCTATTGGAAGCATATTTTATCTAGAATAAAAATGTCGAAAGATATTGCTTCTATGAGAGAAATACAACACAACCGACAACTCATTATGCAAGCTCTAAATAAGAACACAACAAACTTTTCAAACTATTCTAAGATATCTGAGTCATTGAAAGAAGGAAACTTAAAACTGACATTAAACCCTTTAACAGATGAGTTTCTATTTCAAGACAAGAAGAACAATACTGTCTGTATAAATCCAACAAAAGGAACTTTAAACGAGAAACCTATAAATGAACTTCTTTTGAAAGCAGATGTTGACAACAAAGCTGACAAAGAATATGTAGACGATGCAATAGCAAAAGAAGAAGAAAGAGCTAACAATGCTTATGCAACAAAAGAACATACTCATCCTGAACTAGCAGACAAAACATATGTTGACAATAAAATGTCAAGTGAAGTGACAAGAGCTGAAAACGAATATTCTAAAAAGACTCATATACATTCTATATCTGAAATAACAGACTTAAACGTTAGCCTTGAAAATAAGGTAGATAAGGGACTTATGGCTAGTGTGTTAGTGAAGAAGGCGGATAAGGAATATGTGGATGAAAAAGATAAAGAAATTATAGAAAGGGTTGACTGGTACCATGAACGGACATCGAAGATTTTAAAAACTAAAGCCGATACAGGATGGGTTTCAGGATGTTTAGACCTTAAAGCAGATAAAACTTATGTTAACGATGAGTTAGAGAAGAAAGCAGACAAGAACCATACACATACAAGTTTTACAACTGTTAGAGCAGACGACATAATACTGAACTTTGACCTTGGTTCAAGTGCACCTTTAGAGAATCCGAGTACAAGCGTAAAAGATACTCTTAACAATTTAGATAAGAGTTGCAGGAACATTGAAAGTCATGCCAGAAACTTTGAAGCATATGAACTACCCGCAATGTTAGACAAGAAAGCA